CGACATGTCCATCCTGGGCCTCCTGCAGTACCACAACGATGCCACCCGAAGGTTGCAGGAACAGCACCTCACATTTCGCTTGGGAACCCTGCAGCCCAATGGTATCAATGTGGACTTCACAAGCTTCAAAATCTCCCCTTCCCCGACCACATCCCAAAACCAGCCCAGCTCGTCCCTGCCTCCCTAACTTGTCCGTCTTTTCTCCCACCTATCCACTCCTCCCACCTCAAGCCCCACCCCCACCTCCTATCTCCCAACCTCATCCCCGCCCCCTTGACCTGTCCATCTTTCCTGGACTGACGAACCCCCACCCTAACTCTCCACCTACACTCACCTTTATTGGCTCCATCCCCGCCTCTTTGACCTGTCTGTCTCCTCTCCACCTATCTGCTCCTTTATCCATCTTCCATCCACCTCCCACCTCCCACCTCCCCCTCTCTATTTATTTCAGAACCCCCTTCCCCTCCCCCATTTCTGAAGAAGGGTCCAGACCCAAAACTTCAGCTTTCCTGCTCGGCCTGCTGTGTTCATCCAGCTCGACACCTTGTTTTCTCACATATGGATGTGTATCTTTGGAACTCTCTTCCTTGAAAGATGATAGCTGCGCAGTCTTTTAATATTTTCAAAGCAGAGGTTAGTAGATTCTTGGTAAGCAAATAGGTGAGATGTTATTGCGGGTAGGCAGGAATGTGGAATGATTAGAGTAGCCATAACCTTATGAAATGGCAAGCAGGATCAAGGGGCCGAGTGTCCTACTCCTGCTCCTAATTGCTATGTTAGTGCCAAAAGCCAAAAGAATTGCAGTTGTATCTAGGCTATGATCTGCAAAAATTCTTCTCATGTGGCTGCTTTCCTCAAAACTCCCTAATTAGTAATGGGTAATTTCCAACTAAACTTCATCCGGTGTCTCAGAAACCATATCTCTTACTGCCTTTAACCTACCTTTCAGCATTGCATTTGGATTCCAACATTTACACCTATATAGTATCACCGACAAGATGTACTTTCCAGAGAAATGTTTTTATTTCTAAAAAGGATTCAAATGTGTGTGAAGGTTTTTTGCAAGCTGTTTTGCAATTGTGCTTCAAAGATTTAGATGCCCAAGGAACTTCATATTCCTGCAATTGCTTCCAATATTTGCAAATCCATATTATCAATGATAATTTTGTGCCATGAAAAACTGCCATGAGCTCCAGATATATTTTTTTGCCAATTTTGATCCAATTCTCCTCTCTGATGTCATTGGCCAGTGCTTCACTTTTATTATTTATGTAGCATTTCACGATTTTGACAGTGGTGGCGATTCTGAGATTCCAGCAGGGAAGCCACATTCATATGACAGAGACTCAATCACTCTGACCTACTCTCTGTGATCACAGCTTCCTTCTGGGGACATGCGATCGAAGAATTATTCCTTCCAAAGTCTTTTCACAGTCACTTTAGAATAGAATGTCCTTTATTGTCACTTGTACTTCAGTAGGTAAGTACAGGAGTACAGTGAACAGTTATTACAATGGCTGCCTTTTAATGGCACCATCTTCGGTACAAGTGCCTAGATACAAATCTAACAGAGTAAAAATATATATAATGTTGTAATACACGAGGATTAAAAGGTAAGAATTTACATTACAGTCCAGTAAGAGTACCCAACAACAGCAGTTCAGCATGTGGCGCCAAGCCTAAGTCCAACAACTGTCCCACATGACACCAGCCTCCAGTTCGCTCCTCACCGTCATTCAGCAGCAACATGGTAAGTCATGCTTTACTGGGATTCCCCTCCCTGGCACCACTCCAGGACTTGGGATTCACTTCATTTAAGTATGGAAAATCCAATTTTAATGTTGTACCTTCAAACTATTCCTTTGCTTATAGGATTAAAAGTAAATCCGTTTTGAGCGACGTGATAAAAAGTATATATTTTTAAATAGCAGCTACAAATAAATGGCCTTCAAAAAAATGCCACATATTAATAGACTCCCCAAGGAGGAAACAGAAAAATAAATATTTGCAACAGTAATTTTTATTTCAAGCTTCAATACCATGTTGCAATTGATACAGGAGTGATAAAGAATGAACAAAGCATTTCTCTTAGACAGCTTAGGGGAATTCTGATTTGAACACTAAAAGGCGGTTAAAGCAGATACCCTTTGCATAAAGAGATTCTGTCTCTCCCACTTGATCCAGAAATGGCAATTTTCGAGAAGTAAAACTTGGTAGATGGGTCATAATTTTTCTTACATATTTGGTCATGGAGTATGATGACCTTGGCTGTCATTTGCTTCATTTTGATACTACGAAAACATCGACACACACTCCACAATGAACGATCCCTTGCATTGTTTTATTTTTACAAAACTTCAAAGTAAGAGCTCTGCATTGCATTCTAAAGATATTTTCCTACAGTAAACTTATTCAATTGTTCGCTATTTAGATATTGCCTGAGCCTAAAGCACAGAGGGACATGTTTCATTGACTCCGCTTGTCTATTGGTTTACATATTGTTATTCCTCGAAGTTGACTTATACTTATGTACCGTCACATGCACCACCACCTGTGTTGTGCCCTGCATAAAGTCAGAAGTCACAGAGCACCAGGTTATAGTTCAACAGATTTATTCGAAATCACTCACGCTTTTGGAGTGCTGTGCATGTGCGTCTCTCACACCCCAACACACATACACACACACACCCCTAAGAGGTGAATCATTTCATCCAAGATGTTTGTTTACTTGCAGATACCTTCTATTTTGTTCAAAAAACACACAATTTGTAGTCACAGTCAGTGTGGCATCTGATAAATTCCTGCTTTCGGAATAAAACCCTGGCCTGATTCCAGGTTATAACTCTGAGACAGATTCTGACATTGACTTTATAAATAGCTTACTCACTGTCTAACACTCTCTGTCACCCGCAGAGACTTATTATCTGACACTCCACTCACACCAGTTCTATGATCTTTTGATCTCTCTGCCCATAAACTCTGTGTCTGTGCTCTCCTCGCTCAATGCGCTTGACGAAGAGGCTGTGTTCCGAAAGTGTGTGGGATTTCAAATAAACCTGTTGGACTATAACCTGGTGTCATGTGACATCTGATTTTGTGCATCCCAGTCCAACATCGGCACCTCCATATCGTGCCAATCGTAAGAGTTGACTTTTCGTCTGTAAGTACTTACAGCAACAGTCAGCAGGGTATGCATCAATTAGGGCAGTGTTGTCTGTTAGAAAGTGTGACAAGTGACAGAAGTGTGACTAGGGCAACATAATTTTGAGACATGCATACATTTTAGTAGGAAACACACGTACACAATATAGACAAACTTACACAAATATAGATAATTTAACACATATTTGCTTAAACATCCATCACTAATCAGCAACCATGGAAGCAAAGCACTCAAAAATGATTCAACACAGGTTACACTCTCCAGTTCTCATTGTTTTACTGACAAACACACAAAAAAGTTCAGGTTCATGTGCAAATGCAATGCAAATACAAATCCAATTCTGTAGGTGTCAAATCTGGGTGATTACAATTTATATGGCTTAGTGCTACAGTGAGCCATGTCTAATGATCATTGTAATTTAATTTTTCATTGTTTAAGTCTGATTTAGTTGCCACGTAACAACTATAGAGAGTTGTTGGTAAGACGTCAATTACTTAAGAGTTTACAGCATAGAAACAGGTCATTCAGCCCCACTGCGCTATACCAATATTAATGCTCCACTCAAGCCTTCTCCAACCTCTCTTCATCAACCTGTCAGCAAATTTTTCGTTGTGTTTTAAATCCCCACCATGTGCTTTATCAGCTTTCCCTCAAATATATCTGTGCTATGCACATTAACTATTACAGGTAGCTGTGAGTCTCACAATTTAAGACTTCCAGCATGGAGGCTTGGAAACCAACCTAAACTGTAAGAATTAAGCTCTAAATGTCTGTTAATATCTTTTGATGGATCGAGTGACATGTTCCCTAATAACTCCTACAATGAAATAACATACCACATGCATAATGCAATCACTATTACCCTTTCACTGCAGTGAACCAGCCTGTGGTATAAAGCAAATGATTGATGTATGAAAAATGCACAGCAGCTAAACTCAGACTGACTGCCCATTCATCTCTTTACCATTTGTAAGGCTTTACAGACTTAGAATGGCTGCAGCACAATGGTCACCACCAATGCTGCATCTGTCCCTGTCTAGTAAACGGACAAAATATTTTTTCTTTCAGCACACTCTCTTATTGCTGGCTAGGCTTCTAGCTTAGCCTCTAGGAGGTGCACAGAAGTAGCAGTGTGTTTCTTCCTCCCAGTGGGCACACTGACAAGACAATATGGATGATATTGACAAATTCAACAAAAAGGCAACTGGTGCAGCTCTAATCCAACTGCTTTGAGGCTCAGTGGACTGGAGTTTCACTGCACCACAAAGTGTTGCATACAATTCTTTTATTTTCATAGCTGGCATTAGTAATACTTATAGATTCGAAAGGAACAATGACACACCTAGATTACAATAGCTCTCTTTATTATTACAGGGCACACAAAAACCTGTGTCAATAACCACCCTTACATCTTACAATGGGAGTCTTGTCAGCTTCATAAATATCAAATGGTTTAATAATTCAAACCGAAAGAACTGCGGATGCTGTAAATCAGGAACAAAAACAAAGTTGCTGGAAAAGCCCAGCAGGTCTGGCAGCATCTGTGAAGGAAAAAACAGAGTTAACATTTTGGGTCTGGTGAGCCTTCCTCAGAACAGCAGTTTTGAGGAAGGGTCACCGGACCCGAAACATTACTGTTTTTTCCCTTCACAGATGCTGCCAGACCGGCTGGGTTTTTCCAGTAACTTTGGTTAAATAATTCGTTAGGCTGTTTCTTCAATCACAAAATTAAATATATGTTTTTACAATAACAGGTACATATATAACAAACACAACAGTGCATTATTAAATCCTGATTCTGGTTGATGAATCAGGATTTTCAAATTGACTTTGCTTGTTAATATGTAGTAGTCATATTTTTAAGTCAAAATCATTGCATATAGAAGCAAGAATACTGTTGAAAGCTGAGGGAATGATCATGCATTTCATAAATGTAGATATTCTTACCTTTTCCTTTCCACTGGCTTCTCGTGATACTGTTGAGCCCTAAGGAAGCAAACAAGAAAAAAAATTACCATTGTCCTTTCTTATTTTTAAAACTAATAGCATGAATGAACCTACTACCAACCCTCTTTATATCCCAATATTTCATTCACTTTCCCAAACAGAAGCAAGGAGAAACTATGTTGCAGAAATATGAAATGGAAGAGTTCACCATCCAATTTCCTATCCTTTCCTTTTCTGAAATAAGTAATACTAGGCATTTGCTTGCTGCTTCTGACAGGGCACATGGGAGACCAGAACTTGCCTATATAGATAATTATAGGAGGTGTAACTCCATAACTTGCCTTACCATGGCATAGCATACCCTTATAAAATTTGATCAAGTACTAAATTAGAACAGCCAATCGGAACGATTCAACTAATAAGCAGTTTAAGCACTCACAAATTTTATCTGCTTCTCAGAGATTCAAAATTCTCTGTTGTGCAATTTTTAAAAAGTACCCAGCTCCAACATAAGTCCAAAGTTAGGAGCTTTACATGACTAATGCATGCAGTTTGTATGTGGTTCAGCATCTTGTTGAAATAAATGAAATAGGAGAATGGGTGTTTAATATAATTATTACACATCGAAACATGATGAGGACTGTCAACCCTTTGACTTTGGTCAATTAAATCATGACTGATCTGTGCCTCAACTCCAGTTACCTGCCTTTCGTCCATACATTTCAACATCTGAGCTTACAAATCTATCGTGTTCAGTTTTGAGAATTTCATTTGACTCCAGCATTGTTATACAATGGCATCATGAGGTCTTCATTTGTTACAAGCGCAATACCTGAAGGATACAATTTCCATAAATGCAATTTGCACTCAAAGCTCTCATCCTGGTTTTCAAATCTCTCCATGACCTGACCCCCACTGATCTCTTTCATTCTTTTAGCTTTACAGTCATCTGAAAACTCTGCATTCCTATTGTACATTAGGTGTTACACCCCCAGTTTTAGTCATTCCTTCATTGCTTTTAGCTGCCCTCAAATTCTCAGCCTCTCCTTTCAGATGTTCCTTAAAACCCTAGTCTCCACAGATGCTGACAGACCCATTGCATTTCTCTAGCACTTTACTTTTGTTCCTGAAAACCCATCTCTTTGGCTAAGCTTTTAGTCACCTCTTCTATTATCACCTTAACTGATTCAATGGCAAATTCTACTTGGTAACAATTCTATAAAGTACCTTGAGATGTTTTACAATGTTCTAAAGCAATATGAATGCAAGTTGTTTCTGTTGCTATTGTACTGATCATTATTGCAATAATTGCTGTTATTTGGACACCGAAATCCAAGTTTGATCCATTTCCCATGCACCATTCACATATGCACCTTGAAGCAAGAATCACCAGCTAGCGACCAGGAGCAGGGACATCCATGGATGATCTTCTCCCTCTCTAATTGAGAGCAGTAAGACCAACAGCAGTGTCCAAATATGAAGAATCAGAAGCAACCCAACCAAAGATCTTCTCATGCAACGAGTGGTTAAAATTTGTAACGCACCACTTGAGAGGTTAGTGATGATAGATGCAACAGTGACTTCCAAAAGCAAATCTTGACAGAGAAATATAGTCCTCTTGGATGGAACTAATGGGATTGCTCTTCTAAAGAGTCAAGCCATACATGATGGACTGAACATCAATCTCATCTGCTGTTCTATTTTATGGTTCCAAAGTCTTCCAGCTTGCATCACATAATTCAAATTTGTTCAGGAGTCAAATGGGGACCAATTTGTTTGCATAGATCAGTATCAGAATGTGCAGTTCCTTCAGTCAAAGCTTTGGGGGCAATTGTGGGCTTTCAACTTTTATTTATATAATGGAGAAATTCACTTTCAATAGACTACATTTAAATTGATCCAAATTAAATCTAAATACTTGGTGTTTCATAATTAATTATTCACTTGCTTCAATAATTAAATCACTGAATCCATTCTGTAATTAATTGACTTACTGCCAGCATTTTATTAATTTTACAGCTTAATTTAAAGGATACATATGCTGAACACATCAGAATTCAGAAATTGCATAATTATATTTTCACGCAACATTAAAGAGTCAACTAGACCTAAAGGTTAGAAAATATTTTCTCTGTGGCTATTTACTGTGACCTCTCAAGCCACTGGGCTACGGTTAAACTGTAATTTTAGCAGCACAGTCTGCCCATTCACACCTAAAATGTCACTCAGTGGTGTGCTTGTAACGGGAGTTCGGGGGAAGCTGGAGATGAGAGAGAGTGTAAGTAAGTGCAACAGACAGTGAGTGTTTGAGTCAGAGATCAGTACGAGGAATAGTAGGAGTCAAATTATACTGAAACTCATCCCAATAACATGCCTTAACTACATTAATACACTTTCTATAACATATCCCCAGAAGACATTTTCTTGATGTCCTGGCCAATATTTACCCCTCAACCAACATCACTAAAAGAGATCACCTGGCAGTTTGTTTTTGAGGGCATTGCTGTGCACACAATACCATGTTATATTGCAACAGTATCTCAGCCACTCTATAGTCCAACAGCATAAAGTAATTTATCCTAACTATTCTCGAAATGCCAACTGCAAAAATTTAAAAATTGATGAACACCCCCAAACCTTTCATCACGGATTCCTCAACTACAGGAAATAATCTTTGCCCTTTGTAGTCTGTCAAAATTTTATATTGTGATTTTTTTTTATTTTTCCATGGGATGTGGGCATTGCTGTCAAGGCTAGTATTTTTCATCTAATGCATCTCGCCCTCAAACTGACTGGCTTTGCTAGGACATTTTAGAGGGCAGTATAGAATCAATCTGTGGGTCCAGAGTCACATGTTGGTCAGACCAGGTAAGGACAACAGAGTTTTCTCCCTAAAAGGACTTTTTTTCTTTTTTTTAAAAAAAATAGTTCTCTGGCTAGGCAGCATTTATTGCCAGAGAGCTGTTAAGTGTCAATCACGTGTGGGTCTGCAGTCACAGATCAATCAGACCAGTTAAGAATGGCAGGTTCTCATCCCTAAATGACATTAGTGAACCAGAGGGGTTTTTTGAAACAAATGACAGTGGTCATCATTAGGCCAGCTCTTTATTTCAGAATTTTATTGAATTCAAATTTTACCATCCGCCACGGTGGGATTTATAATTCCCACAACATTGGCTTGGGGTTCTGGATTGGTAATGATGTAACACTTTGCCACTGCCTACCAGAACAAACCAGATGGGATTTAAGGATGATCAATGAAAGGTTCACAGTCACCATTCCTGAGTCTAGAATTCCATTCTAAGTTTTGTAATTGATAGAATCTGAGTTCCACCAGCTGTTGTGGTGGGAATTGAACCGGTGTCCCTACAGCATTAAGCTCAGCCTCCAGACTGGTCCAGTGGCATAACCGTTATGTTACTCTGTCCCCTCAGTTTTTACAAAGTTTCAACATTTTATAAGTAGATAGAGACAGTTAGATATAAAATCTGCAGCTTTAAAACATAAATAGGTTCTGTGCCTTTAACATTACTGGTAGTCAGCAGTATTTTGCTAAGAATTCACTCACTGGGGTTTCCTTTAGTTAGGTCATGCTGATAAAAAAAAACATCTCCACATCAAAGTTAACTTTGAAATTTGCTTTGACAATAGAAACTTTGAAAAGGGGCAAAGAATCCAGTTTTGCTGTATTTAATCCTTTTCCAAGCCTGTTTTTAGCACAGTTTAAAAGGAAATTAATTATACAGTTGAAAATTACAGGAACTATGTTTTATGGTTCATGTAGCACTTTCACAATGATGCAGTCAGGGGTCTGACTCACAGCACAGGCCAACATTCAAATATGCCACCCACAGCTGTGATGAGTTTTAAACAGAGTGGGGGGTTGGCAGGAAGGCATTGAGAATGAAGCAGGGCTATTTGTCTCAAAGAATGATTACTTAAACGATCATTTCCCCTATTATCAGCATAATTCTGGGGAAAGGGCAAGAGTGAGTGGGTGAACAGCCTTTATTCATTTCTGTCACTTTGAACACCACCTATTACCAAACTGATGGATTGGGGAATCTGCACGTTTAACTTACTTACAGTGCACAATGCCTTTGTGGTCTCAATTGCTCAGTGACAAGAGCAAGGATTTGCAAAAATAATGAAGCTGGCAATGAGCTAAACAGGTTGCCATTTGTAAATCATTGCACAATGGAGTGGCCATGCTGGCTTTACTTGTTATTTTATGGGACAGAAGAATAAAATGGGTACATAGAAATGGTCCATTTGGCCCATTGTGTCTCTACCGGTTCTCAATTAGAGTGGTGCCTAGTCCTACTTCTCTATCTTTTTTCGGTCGCTCTGCAATTCTTCAGATAATCTGAAGCTCATCATTGATCACATTCTCAGTCAGGCAATCTGGAACCTAATCACTCGCTGTGTAAGGCTTTTTTCTCATGTCACCAACTTATCTCTTACCTTGATTCTTCCACATGTGGAACTGTTTCTCCCTGTTACTCTGTCCAAAGTCCTTATTAGTTTGAAAACTCTGTCAAATCTCCTCCTAATCCTCTCCTCCCAGGAGAACAGTCCCAGTGTCTCCAATCAAATCATGTAAATTAATGTCCTCATCCCAGGAACTATTCTCAGGAATCTTGTCTGTATTACTTCTTTAATGCCTTCATATTCCCTCCTAAAGCACTGTGCCTAGAATGGGATACCAAATTTCAGCTGAAGCCAAACGAATGTCATGTAGAGGTTTTCTCAACTTCCTTGATTTGGAACCTTTGCCCCCATATATAAAGCCCAGGAGACCATGTGTTTCATTAACTGTTCTTAACCTGTTCTGCAACCTTGAATAATCTGATGGCACATATCTTCAGGTACCTCTACACCTATACCCCTGTTACAATTATACCCTTTATGTTGCCTCTTTCTTCACAACACACTGCATTAAATTTTATCTGTCAATTGTCCATATATCCCTGTCTGTGCCCTTCTAAAGTTTCACATGATCTTTCTCAATTCACAAAACTTCCAAGCTTTAAGTCATCTGAATATTTTAAAATTGCTCCCTACACACCTAATTCACTGTCATTCATATACATCAACGAAAGCAGGGGTCCTAACGCTAAGCCCCAAGAAAGCCAATTATAACCCTTCCACCAAACACCCCTCACTTCTCTCTGCTTCCTGTCATTTATATTATCTGGTATCCATGCTGCTACTGTTTGTTTTCTTTTACAAATAACTGTGCTCACAAACTGGTTGTGTATGTGATACCTTATCAAATGGCCTTTGGACTGTATTTAAAAATCAAATATTCTCAGTTTTCTCACTGTTTCCTTTCTTTCTTAAGGCACAGACTCAACAGAATTTGGTCCAACCAGTCTATGCTGACCATAATCTCAAACTAAACCAGTCCCACCTGCCTGCACTTGGCCCATATCCCTCCAAACATTTCCTATTCATGTGCATATTCAAATGTCTTTTAAACATTGTAACTGTACCCATATCTGCCACTTTCTCTAGAAGTTCATTCTACATTCAAACCACTCAAAAAATTTGCTCCTCATGTCGTTTTTAAAATCTTTCTCCTTTCACCTTAAAAATATGCCCCCTAGTCTTGAAATCCCCCATCCTAGGGAAAAGATACCTGCCATTCACCTTATCTATACCCCTTGTTATTTTATAAGTCTCTACCAGGTCACCCCTCACCCTCCTATGCGCCAGTGAAAAATTGCCCATATCCAGCCTCTCCTTATAACTCAAACCCTCCATTCCCAACAAAATCCTGGTAAGTCCCTGATTCTTGTTGGGGTAGTTTAATTTGCATCAGTCACTCTCCACTATTGAGTCCAGATTGTGTGGAGTGGCAGACTATTAAACCAGGCAAGTTATCAAAACCAGGGCCCTTGTTTGGACCATCACAACATCCACGCCCATGTAGTTTTCAGTGGAGACAATCACCCCAGCTGGAATCACTCCTTCCGTAACCCAGGGTACCAAGACTGAATTAAGTGTCAATCTGCTCTAATGTAGTAGAAACCAGCAAAATGGACACAATAGCATTGTGGATTTATTAATGATCTAGTAGTTAGAAGCCCACAGTTCAAATCCCACCACAGCAATTAAGGAATGAATTACATTTGGAATGAAAAGTAATGGAAACTATGAAACTACCAGATTGGTAAACTAGATGGGTTTTTATGACAAAGTCTCTTAAGGAAGGAAACCTTACCCATTTTATTTAAGTGATTGCAGACCCACAGTAATATCAGTGACTCTTAAATGGTTCAATAAACCATTTAAGCCAGTACAAAAAAAATACAATCTAATGCAGTGCATTAGTTTTAAAAAAAAGGCATCTTAAAGACAATTAGGGATGAGCAATAAATAGTGGCCTTGCCAACAACGTCCACATCCCATGAATGAATAACAGAGAACAAAAATAACAGAGATTAAATCTGGACCTTGCTAAGTTATGGCTCAGCTATTCAGTTGACATACTTGATGATCCACTGTGGAATAAGGTAGCTCTGAGTTTTAATCAGAAGAGAAGATTACAAAGCAGATACCAAAAATGAGCAAAGGCTTATGCATTTAACAACAGTAAGCAATTTAATGATTGCTTCACACACCAAGTGACTTCATGTGGGGATTGTGGAAGAATTTGTCTGATTCACCAAAATAGGTTTCTATTCACAGCTGGAGTTCTGAACGTTTTAACAGACCGACCTGTGAATCAATTCCATGTTTTGAATATGAACATTCAGCAGTTAATACATGTGATTTACTCATGTAAAAACTAACTCTATTAACAAAACTGTTTACAATTCCTTTCTGGTACATGGTATCTTGATCAAGTAGCCATTATTCATTAGTAAGTCTCATCAGTGAATATCATGAAGATAAATCAGCATGGTTAACATCATGGGCAAGTCATTACTACCTCTAGTTGACATTCATACATGTAAGCTTCAAACAGGTCACTGAAGAGAGATCAGGGAACAAGAATCCCAGCTGATTTTTCCTCCTTCCACAGCTCCAGAGCATAAGACTGAAGTAACACTGCCTTTACCAACTGAGTTAAGCTCAGTTAGCTCGACAACCTAGGGAATCAATTAAAGAATTTCCTTATGTGTGGGGGCTCACAACGTGCTAAGCCTTTGAGGAACTTAAATCTTTTTAAAATGTTTTAAAAATGAATAGTTTTCTTTTAACAATAGTAAAAATTTTTAAAAATGGAATGCATGTTGTCAATATTCAGATGCCAGCAGAGATGGCAGTATAACATCATCACCTTGCTATGACAAAGCCGCTGACCGTTGACTGCTTCCCTCATGGCAGAGGCTTCAAGATGACCCTTCCTGCCTGCTACCCCTTGACCATTCCCAAGACCCCAGCCCCCTTGCTGCACAGCTTGCCACTTTTCTCAGGGAGTGGGCAGTGGGAATATTATTTAGATGAAGAAAGAAGCAGAAAGCTACGGAACAGAAGGAATAGGGTGTTGCTGACGTGAATCACAAAAAAGCTGGCATCCAAGTTCAGAGGGTAATAGAGAAGGCAAATCGAATGTTGACCTTTATTTCAAAGGAAATACAATATATAAAAGGAACTAGTCAGATTACAGCTCGAATACTGAAAGCAGTTTTAGGCTCTTATCCAAGGAAAGATATGCTGGCTTCGGAGGTCTGCCTCAAGTCTTTCTCTTATACTGAGGTACCAAGTCTCTTTCTAAATGTTCCTCTAGATCAATGGTTTGCTTGTCCATTTCAGAGGCACCAGGCTACTATATGAAAGGAAATATGAAGCCATTAGTCATGCATCATCGCTGGCAGCGACATCAAAGGAATTATAGCTGCACTGGCACCCCAACATTTATGGCTTTTAAAAAGTCGTGGAAGTCTCTTTGCCACAGTGCAAACATGAATGCTGCTGGTTAAGTAAACAGCTGTAGGTACTCAGGACAATAAAAGATTCATTACCTATTCTACATAGAAAGTATGCATCTCAGGGGAAAGAGTATATTTTGAGAATAAATGGTTAGAACTTAAAGCATTCAGTACTGAAATGCTCACTGGTCCCTCTAGGAACACACTACAGATGCAACAAAATCTGCCTTCTTGTCACCTCCAACCTGATCAATTCTTTATCAGCTCCTTATGTCTCCTTCTGACTTCAACTTCTTCAATTTTAATATCTCTATGTCTTCATTATGCCTTATATGGCTGAGCTTTACTGCACATATGTCCTACTTACACCATTTGGATTCTGTATTATTGCTGGATCACCACCCCATTTCTCCCAGTATCAGAGATGTTCTTCGAGACAGAATCCCTCCCTTTTGGCGTATTCTCCCTGTACCACTTCATGTCATTACCACTCTCACTTTCTCCAGAAGCTGCCCTATGCTCACTTGCTGATTGCATCGTCCCTCTTCCCCTATGCCTAGTTTTCATACCTGCTTGTTCTTTGCTTACCACTTGAATCTGAAGATACTTTGTGTGTGAAGAGTTATACAAATCAATTTTTTGCAGCTTCTCCTTCTAACACCAAATACACAAAGCTCCATTGGACTAATTGGCTCTGAAAGAAAAACATGCACAGAAATTCTGATGCAGATCACATATTTCTGTCGGGGACATTACCTTCAGGTCGTATTTCCTGTGCACAGAGAGTCTGTGACTAAAGACGTTTCTCGTTACGGTCATATAGGTCTCCACTCCATCTACTGTTAATCTGTACATGCCCAGGAATTGAGGAAGAAGTGTGTTGCCATGGCATTCCACAATATACTAGAAAAATAAAACAAGAATGCTTTCACAAACAGAACAAAATCAAATGTGAACGTGCAATTTTTGTTACATTCTCAAATAGACTTTGTTTCTCTGGATCCATTGGGACAATGGGCAGCAAGGCTCTAGTACAAGCCACACTGCACTGCAATCTTTCTCGCTGTTGTATTAACTGCTATTAATTAAAGACGCTATGTTTCCCACACGCTGCAGAAGCTAAAAACTCTTGCTGGGGTTTGACACATTGGGTGCTGGCCATTTTTCATGACAGTTAAGGAGCGTCAGCAGGTCACTCAGCCACGGAGGATAATCACAGATGAGTCTAATCTCACTTTCCAGTAGACATCCTAAAATTAGCAGCAAGAAATCTTGTCAATATTTCCTCCTCATTCCAGGAGTATAAGTTAATTGATATCCAATGCAGGCTAGACTCAAAAACACAAACAAAATTATAGAGGTTTATAAAATCATGAGGGACATGGATAGGGTCATTTTGCCAGGGTAGGGGAGTCCAAAGCTAGAGGGGACAGGTTTAAGGTGAGAGGGGAAAGATCTAAAAGGGACCGGAGGGACAACTTTTTCACACAGAGGGTGGTACGTGTATGAAACGAGCTGACAGAGGAAGTGGTGGAGGCTGGTACAATTACAACATTTAAAAGGCATCTGGGTGAGTATTTGAAAAGGAAGGGTTTAAGAGGGATATTGGCCAAATGCTGGCAAATGTGACGAGATCAGTTTAGGATATCTGGTCTGCATGGATGAGTAAGGCTAAAGGGTCTGTTTCAGTGCTGTATAATTCCATGACCTTCCAATTCAAATTTAAAAGAAATCTGTTCATGGGATGTTGGCATCCTGACTAACACAGCATTTGTTGCCCATCCTAACTTGTCCAGAGGGTGGTTAAGAGTCAACCACATTACTGTGCATCCACATGTAGGCCAAACCAAATAAGGATGACAGATTTCCTTCTCTAAAGGACAGTCAACCAAAACTGCTTTTTACAACAACTGACAATCGGTACATGTTCATCAGATTTTTTTCTTGAATTGAAATTTCACCGTCTGCTATGGTGGGATTTCAAACCCATTTCCCCAGAGCCTGGGTTTCTGGATTACTAGTCCAATGTCATTACTGCTATGCCTTCAACTTCCCTGTCATAATGGCCAATTATAACACCAGGCAGTACTTTTACATACTAGACATTCAGTAGAACCCTCATCCGCTGTTAATTTTTAATCTTTCCGATATTTCTAACAGAAATGCTGTAACTGAAGATATACTGAATTTTGGTGCTGACAGCATGTGTCCCCATCTGGGATATTACCTTCAGGTAATAATTTCAGTGGTCAGCAAGTCTGTGACTAAATACATTTCTTGAAGCCAACTTTTAATCGTATCTTTCATTGATTTGTAGGATTTCATTGAAACCTATAAAATTTTAACAGGATTGAGCAGGTTAAACACAGGGCGTTTCCAATGACAGACAAGTCCAGAGCCAGGGCTCACAGTCTAAGGACACATTTAGGACTGAGATGAGGAGAAATTTCTTCACCTGGAGAGCGGTTAACCTGTGGAATTCTCTGCCACTGAAAGTGTACGAGACCAAAACGCTGAATGTTTTCAAGAAAGAGTTAGATATTGTTCTTATGGCTAAAGGAATTAAAGAGAATGGACAGAAGGCAGGAATAGGGTTACTCAGCTGGGTGATCAGTCATGATCATATTGAATGGTGGAGCAGGCTTGAAAGGCCAAAAAGTACTCCTGGTCCTAATTTCTATGCTTCTATTCATCATTCTGCCCACTTCACTGATTCTGATTTGAACTGTGCTCGTTGCAAGATTTAGCATTCATTTCAAGGTGGCAGCCAAAGACTTCAAGTTTTAGTTTAAGGTTACTCCCTGCCTAGTTTCAAATCAGTGTATAGTGATTGACCAAAAGGAAATAAGACACAAGGAATAAAGTTCTTTCCCCCTCCCCCAACTGTCACTTTTCTTGAGGCTTTAGTTAAATGTTCACCAACAAATCAAATGTTAAATCTCAACCTATGCTTTTTTCCACCCACTTCCTGTGTCCTCACCATTTTTCCTGTCTAATTTCAACTTGCTGCACATTCAATGCTTTGCAAGCTCTACAGCCCAATCTTCGTCACAGCCACGGCCATTAATCAAACCGAACGTAACCTGCATCCAAATGTACCTGATGGTATTTCTTTAAAATATTGTGCATCTCTGCTACATCTTCACTGGTTATCGTTTTAATGACGAATCTTTTATCGTATGTGGTGAGGAATCGAGCTCCCATTCGATTCTGCGCATCACTGTTTAAGGGAGCACTCCGTGTTACTGAGTTCTGAAAGAAAGAACAGCTCTTGAGTGCAAATTACAGAAACAACTTCTCAAACAAATGGTACACTGATTAACATTGTCCGAGTGAAGAAGTCACAATAAGCAATCATTAAAGTGCGGAACACGTTCCTCAAGGAGTAGGTAGGGCAAAAGATATAGATCAATTTTCCAGGAAACAGGATAACCAGTGCCAAGAAAGATAGAGGGATTGGGCCAATGCTGCCTGCTGATACAGGTCAAAAGGTTTGCGTGAAACCTGAAAAGTTCATTCTGTTGCATGTCCCATAGATTTGGTGAATAAATGCAACATTTCTGTCTTTATTGAGAAAAAAACGCACCTGGTGCACACTGAATGATCTTTTTTACAATTACGCTACAGAACATTTCCAACCCAGAAGGGGGCCACATGGACCACTGTATCTGTGCTGGCTCTTCAAAGGAACAACCATTTCATGCCACACCTCTTTTTTTTCCCTACAGACCTGCAAAACTTTTCTTCAGAAAATGATCCAATTCCCTCTTATAGAGTCATACAGCATGGAAACATACTGTTTCGTTGAACCAGTCCACGCCAACCATGTTTCCAAACTAAACTAGTTCCACCTGCCTGCATTTGGCCCATATCCTTCCAAATCTTTCTATTCATGTACTTATCATTGTTTTTTGTGTTTTTCCTGGACTATTAAAAGTTCTAAAATATGAATCAAAATAAAAAATCTTGTGCTTCTGATATAGAAAACCATAAGAAATCTACAAGAAAGCCTGTAACTCAGGAGCAGCTGCAAGGTCCATCCTACTCTCAGTCCACCTGTTTTTTGAATGCATCAACTAAACCTGTCTCCACCACACTCAAGAAGTGCCTGCCAGATCCTTACTGTGTAAAACAATTTTCCTCATGTCACTATTAATGCTTTTCCCAATTACAATGAACCTATTTTTCTCATCTCTGGTTTCCAGTTCACTCCTTCACAACAGTTTCCTGCTTTAAATCAATATTACGAAGGCCATTTATTGCTCCTTTTAATATTTGGCTCTTGCTCCTGTCAAGTGTGAAATGAACCAGTCTGCATGCTCTCCAACACACATTACAATTATGCTCCAATCAAAACTTACCACCATATCAATTCCACTGGTGCAAATGGCTGCAATGAAATTGGGGCAGTAAGCGCAGAGCATTTAGAACAGAGGTAGAAATTTACCAATACTGAACTAAGAATGCTCGACAATATTAAAACCTATGGACATTAGACATAAGCAGTGATTTTCCTCAATTTCTTAAACTGGCCGGTTGGACCAAGTAAAGCAGTCATGGCCAGTGGCAACAGTAGAATCATTCTACACCTGAAATGTAGATATGTTTAAGGTTAGAGCTCAACACAATGCAGATGGTGCACCAGGATTTCAAAGAGCAGGAGGTTGTGCTCCTACCGGAGTCCAAACCCACAAAGGCAAGTGCCAATACTCCAGTATTGTAATGTGAGGTAGAGCTACCATTACATGCCAGAAGTGGTAGGAAAGGCCCTATGTTCTTTCAAGAGATCTTCTCTTTTCAATCTGATCATAGTTGATCCTATACCTAGCTCAACTTTCTTGCCCTCCTTTGACATCAAAAACATCTACTGATCTCTGTCCTGAATCTATCAACGATGGAATATTCACAGACATCTGGAATATAGAATTCCAAAAGTTCCTAATCCTTAAAGTTAAGGAATTTCTTTTCACCTCATTTCTAAGCAGCTGAACTGAGGCGGTCACCCATTGTTCTAGACTCTACAGCCAGGGGAGACAGTCTTGCAGCATTTACCCTGTCAAGCAGTCCAACTGAATAACTTTCATGCAGGTACATGCAGTGGAGCCTAGCTCTGTACATTCAAAGCTAAAATGGCATGGTAATCAACCACAACTTTAAGGTTGGGGTTCACTCAGTTTCTCTCTGATTGATCTCCCCTCCCTCATTACTAGATGCCACCTTCTTTCAAACTGATGGCTGCAGCCTTTAAGTTGAAAATCCTGGTTTCTTCACTCCACTTTTTAAAAATGCATTCTCATAAATTCTGCGCAGTACCAAACAACAGCACACCAAAAAGAAAGAGAACAAAAAGTCTCATGTACACTGCCAACATACATATATTTTCTGCCCTCCTTTGTGCTGGCAAACAATGGTGTGCTTATTCAGGCTACAGATCTGACATGCATAACATAGTCCAATTACCAGGTTTTACAGTATACAGGCATTTTGGCATTAATTAATGTTTAAATGCCAGAACTTGCACACAAAATTCTCTCAAAATAGCAGTTTTGCCTAAGGCAACTTCACTTTCACAATTTTAGAAACCAAATTAAGTTACTCAGCATTTTGAGAAGTCTGGATATAAGCACATGCTGAATCTGAGACACAGGCAGAAAGGCAGACTTGCATTTATATACTATTTTATAGTGTCTCTCAGAAATACTCTTACATGATTCACAATCAACAAATTCCTTTGAGGTTCAGCTACAATGATTATGCAGGCTGTGATGAAACCCTTTTGTTTTGTAACTATTTTATACTGCAAATGCCAGCAAGCCATGAACTTTGTAATACTCAGGGAGCTTGATGCTCCAAAATATACTAGCAACAATACTACCCAAGAACAAGCTGGGAGTTTGTTGATAGGTTTTCAATAGGTTATTCAGGACAGTTTAAGGGTTATTGAACATTCAATTTTAGTCAGAGAATCATGGATGCTAAGGAAATAGGGGAAACAAGTGGGGATGTTTTGGACCACGTACATATTATCAGACAGGGGTGTTTGCAGCCTTAGATCGCATTAAGGTGGATAAATCCCCTGTGCCTGATCCAGTCCACCCTCAGAGGTTGTGGGAGGCTTGGGAAGAAATTGCAGGGGCCCTTGCAGAGATTTTTGCTTCATCTTTAGCCATTGGTGAAGTTCCGGAAGACTGGAGGGTAGCTAATGTTGTTCCATTGTCTAAGAAAGGTAGCAAAGATGAGCCAGGGAACTATAGGCCAGTGAGCCTAACATCAGTGGTAGGCAAGTTATTAGAGAAGATACTGAGGGACAGGATCAACCAACATTTGGATAGTCAAGGTCTGATTAGGCATAGCCAGCATGGATTTGTGCGCGGGAAGTCATGTCTGACAAATCTTTTAGAGTTTTTTGAAGAGGCAACCAAGAGAATAGATGAAGGTAGAGCAGTGGATGTTGTCTATATGGACTTTAGTAAGACCTTTGACAAGGTCCCACACAGCAGGCTAGTCATGAAAGTTAGGGTGCATGAGATCTAGGGAGAGTTAGTTAATCGGATTCAAAATTGGTTCGATGATGGGAAGCAGAGGGTGACGGTTGAAGGTTGTTTCTCAGACTGGAGGCCTGTGACTAGTGGTGTGTCTCAGGGGTAGGTGCTGGGACCTTTGTTATTTGTTACTTTCATAAATGATCTGGATGTGAACATGACTACAGCATGAAACAGGCAGAGATGCTTGAACAGGTTGATGTTAGGAAGGAGGATATGCTAGAAATATTGAAAAACGTGAGGATAGATAAGTCCCCTGGGCCAGACGGGATATACCCAAGGTTACTACGGGAAGCGAGGGAAGAGCTTGCTGCCCCTTTGCGTACTCACTGTCCACTGAAGTAGTATCAGAAGATTGGAGGGTTGCAAATGTCATTCCCTTGTTCAAGAAAGGGAATAGGGATAATCCTGTAAATTACAGACCGGTCAGTCTTATTTCTGTGGTGGACAAATTATTGGAGAGGATTCTGAGAGATAATATTTATGATTATTTGGAAAAGCACAGTTTGATTAGAAATAGTCAGTATGGCTTTGAGAGGGGCAGATCATGCCTCACAAGCCTTATTGAATTCTTTGAGGATGTGACAAAACACATCTATGAAGGTAGAGCAGTGGATGTGGTGTATATGGATTTTAGCAAGGCATTCGATAAGGTTCCACATGGTAGGCTCATTCAGAAAGTAAGGAGGCATGGGATTCAGGGAAATTTGGCTGTCTGGATACAAAACTGGCTGTCCAATAGAAGATAGAGGGTGGTAGTAGATGGAAAGTATTCAGCCTGGAGCTAGGTGACCAGTGGTGTTCCGCACGGATCTGTTCCAGGACCTCTGCTTTTTGTGATCTTTATAAATGACTTGGATGAGGAAGTGGAAGGGTGGGTTAGTAAAGTTTGCCGATGACACAAAGGTTGGTGGAGGTATGGACAGCGTGGAGGGCTGCTGTAGGTTGCAACGGGACATTGATAAGATGCAGAGCTGGGCAAAGAAGTGGCAGATGGAATTCAACCCAGAAAAGTGTGAAGTGATTCATTTTGGAAGGTCAAATTTGAATGCAGAATACAGGGTTAATGGCAGGATTCTCGGCAGTGTGGAGGAACAGAGGGATCTTGGGGTCCACGTCCATAGATCCCTCAAAGTTGCAACCCAAGTTGACAGGGTTGTAAAGAAGGCGTATGGTTTGTTGGCTTTCATTGGCAGGGGAATTGAGTTTAAGAGCCACAAGGTTATGCTGCAGCTCTATTAAACTCTGGTTAGACCACACTTGGAATATTGTGCTAAATTCTGGTCATCTCATTATAGGAAAGATGTGGAAGCTTTAGAGAGGGTGCAGAGGAGATTTACCAGATGCTGCCTGGACTGGAGGGCAGGTTTTATGAGGAAAGCTTGAGGGAGCTAGGGCCTTTTTCATTGGAACAAAGGACGATGAGAGGTGACTTGATAGAGACTTACAAGATCATGAGAAGCATAGATAGAGTGGATAGTCAGAGACTTTTTCCCAGGGCGGAAATGACTATTACGAGGGGACATAATTTTAAGGTGATCGGAGGAAGGTATAGGGGAGATGTCAGAGGTAGGTTCTTTACACAGAGTGGTGGGCATGTGGAATGCGCTGCCGGCATTTGTAGTGGAGTCAGATACTTTAGAACTTTTAAGCAACTCTTGGATAGGCACATGGAGGTTAGTAAAATGTAGGGTACGTAGGGTAGATTGA